GGAGTCAAATCCACGTGGTTTGTATATTTTTCCTTTAATCTTGGGCATTTTGTTTCTCTTTCTGAGAACATAACTTGAAACACTACAGAGCCAATAATCATATAAAGTGTATCCCGTAAAGGCTGTACAGTTTTATACACATTCACAATGTACTTTTGCTGCCTTCTAGATAATTTATTTTGCAACACATTACTGCACAGTTGTAAATAACTTATGTACTGTAACATCACTTTCAGTTATGTGTAAAGAAATAAATAAATTAATTAAAATGCTCTTGGTGCCAGTGCGGTTGCCACAGCCGGAAAATCTCCCCGCTCCCAGAACTGCAGGGCCCCAGGCAAACGCCCCATCCTCATGGCCCACCCACTGCTGCCTCCACCTGAACCCTTCAGACTGCTGTCCTCAGCTACTCAGGGTAGGTGCACAAGGTCACATTTCCATGCCGCTCTGCAGGGACGGGAAGCCCTCCATCCAACGAGGCCTTTCGCCCAAGGCCAGCTTGGGCCTGGACAGCCAGCTTCAACTGGCTGCCAGTGTTGAGAGGGTCTGGGTGAGGGAAGCAGCAGTCATGGGACAAGCAACCTGCAGGTTAGCGTCAGGATGCAGAACCTGCCATGACTCACCAAGAGTCTCTAGACACCTGGCTCCTTGCAGGCCCTCCAGGTCTCACCTGGGCCCAGCAAATAGGGCGGGCACCTGCCTCTAACTAGACTTAAGGTGTCCGAGTCAGCAAGGGTTCACAGGTGTGTGCTAACTGTATTTCCCAGTGACACTTTTTAAGCTCCCTCCCCCTTTTTTTTAAATACTTGCACTAGCCAGTGTGACACCAAGGCGCAGGACGTGCTGCCATCCTGCCTATTTTCCCCTGACATCCCACTGCTGGGTTCAGACTGCTGCCCCCAGCGGATGCAAAAGCTGGGTGACTAAGGAAGACCGAAGAGATTCTTTTGAATTCATGATGGTGGAAACACCAGAAGAGCCCAAGTGCTCCTCAGCAGTGAAGATGACACGACTCTTTCCCATTCTTTGGACACACTGCTGAAAGGCCCAGTGTCTGGAGGAGGACACCCTCAGCAGGATGGTGTGGGGCAGCGTGCTCTGCTGTGACGTGAGCCGCTATACGGCAGGACCAACTAACAGCACCACAGATTCAAATGGAGCTCTTGGCTGCAAATCACACCAGAACAGCAGCAGTGAAGGAAATGGTAAGCCTTTCAGATAGGATGACAGACAAGATGTACGGGAGCCCACAACCCTCTTCAACCAAGAGTGCAGAAAACAAAGATGGAAATAATAATGTGGAACTGTGAGGGAAAAGGTACTGCACACACCAACAGGAGACAGTGAGTGAAATCATGAGGGAAGGAGCAGGGTTGTCAACCACAGGGCCTACCTGTTTTGTACGCTGGTCCGGCTGGCTTGATGCTGTCCAGCACTAGTCTCTCCTATTCCTGTGGGGGACAGGAGAGCCACCACCTGCACAATCTCACAGGAGGTGACAGTGTCTCCTGGCCACACCAGCTTATCTCTGGCATCGGGAGCATGTCTGGCTCTGTACTTAGGGACATCCCCTCACCCCTGGGTACCAGGACGGTGCTGCCTGGCCTACAGCCAACTGTAACGCTGGTGAAGTGCCATCTCTGACTCCTGCCTGGCTATATGCCTTTGGGGACACCTCACTCACCATAGCAGGCACGTGAAGCAGTGGACATCATGGTGGGGAAAGGTGTAGGGGAAGAACCTCAATGACTGACACATTGACCACATAATAGTGGGCCCTAGTGTGGCAGAGCTGAGTGTGGCACAGGACAGGGCAGGGTTCGTTCAGAGAGTCGTTACAAGTCGTAACTGACTCAATGATAGCTAACAGCAACCCTCTGTGGAGTGTGCCATCCGTGGGCATCTCATTGGCAGTGATAGTCTCTTCATACCAGCCCTCTCTGCCTGGGTACCTGTCAGCCACGCCCTGCACTAACAGAACATCATCCCCGGCCGGCAGACTCCCCTCAGCTCCTGCGAGCAGAAACTCCATCTCTAGATCCCACACACCAGAAGAGGTGCTGACCTTCCAGCTTCCATCTTGGGGCCCAGCCACCACTCAAATGACAGAAGCTCGGACCTAAATGGACTGCAGCCTTCAATATGGATTAAGCTCATCATCAAGAAAAATTCTCACCACTGGGCCAACTGGCAGCAGAATGATAGATGGTGAAGAGATTGAGATTGTTAACAGTTTCAGTTTGCTTGGCTCCACAATCAACACTCTTGGTACTAGCAGCCAGGAAATTAAAAGGTGAATTGCATTGGGAAAGTCTGCAGTCAGAGACCTCTCCAGAGCACTGATGAGCAATGACATCAGGTTGGAGACTAAAGCGTGCCTGATCCAGGCCATATAGTCTGCAATTGTGTGCTATATGTCAGCTGAACAAAGACTAGGGATGACAGAGAATTGATGTCTTTGAGCTGTGCTGTGGTGCTGGAGGAAAGTGTTGAATATACCATAGACTGCTAGAACAGACAGTTTTGTCCTGGAGAGGGTGAAGCTGGGCTGCTCCTTGGAGGCAAGGATTCTGAAGCTTCTTCTGACATACTTTGGGCATGTTGCAAGGAAGTCCTTGAAGAGGGATGTCATGTTTGGGAGGGAAGAGGAACAGCACAAGAGAGAAAGACCCTCTATGAGATGGATAGATTCAGTGATTGGGGTAAAGGGAGTAGGTGTGTCAGAGACAGGTTGGCACAGGACAGAGCAGGGTTTATGACTCTTGTACACAGTGTAGCTATGAGTCACAAGCAACTCAACAGCACATAACGACGACAACCCTAAAACATCCTAGTTCAGAGATTTCACAGGAGAATACCGCGAAAATGCAGAGACTGTCCCCAGTTCTCAAACAAATTTAGAAAATAGAAAACTATGGATTGTTTCCAAATACGTTCTATGAGGCAATCAGAACCTAATACTAAAGCCAGGCAACCCAAAAGATTCCTTGCTTGCAGTTAGAACCAACTCATAGTCGTAAATCCGTGACTCACTGTTGTAAATCCATGGTTGTAAATGACATGGAAGGAGTTATTATTAGGTGCCAGCGAGTCGAGGACAACCTTACGAACAAGAGATCTCACCCTTGCTCTATCTTGCACCATCCTCACACTTCCTGACACACTAGAGCTCATTGCGGCAGTCACCCTGTCAGTCCATCTGGTCCAGGGCCTTCCTCTCCTTTACCGACCTTCTACCATTCCAAGCATCATGTCCCTCTCCAAATAGTCGTCTCTCCTAGCAACATCCCCAAAGTATGTAAGGCAAAACTTCATCTTTGCCTCCAAAAAGCACTCCCCAAGACCTTAGTTCTTTTGGCAGTCCATGGGATGTTGAGTGCTCTTCTCCAACATCAGGGCTCAAAGGCTTCAATTCTTCTGTCATCCTTATTCACTGTCCAGTTCTTAGTTGCCTAGCAAGTCATTAGAAAGATCATGGACCTGAATCAGACACTCTTTAGTCCTCAAACTGACATCATTATTCCTCAATAATTTGGAGAGGTCCCTAACTGCAGACTTTCCCAGTGCAATATGTCTCCTGATTTCCTGACTGCTGGTACCAAGGATGTTAATTAGGGATCCAAGTAAGTATGGAGAGAGAATACAATCCTGACATATTCCCTTCTTGATTTTAAACCATGCAGTGTTTCTTTGCACAACAGCCTCCTGGTCCAGGTCTAGGTTCCACATGAGCATAGTAAAAGTTTCTGGGATTCCCTTTCTTCTCAATGTTAGCCATAAGTTGTTATGATCGACACAAATGCCTCTGTGTAGTCAATAAAGCACAAACAGACAATCTTCTAGTATTTTTTACTTCCAGCCAGGATCCATCTGGCATCAGCAATGATATCCCTGGTACCACAGCCTTTTCTAAATCATCCTTGAACTTCTGGCAGTTCCCAATCTATGTACTGCTCTAGCCATTGGGTGGCCCCAACCAACTTTTAATCACAAAAGTCTGACAAGGGTCCTAATTGGTTTAAACCAGGGGCTTCCAGCTGAAAATTAATAACTATTAATTAAAAAGACCAAAGAAACAATACTAATCAAATAAAAAAAGGCCAAATAGTTCACATCTGATTGTTAATGAAATTAAAAAGACCAAATTGCTCACAAGTAATAATTAATTTATAAAAGACCAGGAAACAACCCAAGTGCCCATCAACAAATGAGTGGATAGAGAAGCTCTGGTCTATTCACACAATGGAATACTACGCTGCATTGAAAAACAAGGAACTTATGAAATAGTATATAAAATGGGTGACCCTGAGGACATTGTGCTGAGTGAAATATCTCAGTCACAAAAGGACAAATACTGCATAGTGCCACTGTCATAAAACAGGACTGGAATTGGGGTTGAGGGGAGATTGAAAGGGGATAAATAATGTGTACTGCACTGAAACATAAGGGAGAGAACTGTTCAGGAGGAATATATGATTGGGTATTTTCA